ACAGCTAAACCAGGCCTCTATGCTGCAGATGTGCCCAACCCCGAGGAGACCTGGGAGTTGTCAGCAGACAACAGCTGCTCAGGCTGGTGCCCCAGACAAGGCCCTTCCCCAGGAGCAGGTAAGGAGCGCTGGCTCGACCCTTTCCCACAGCAGGAGGCAGCGTCCCTCAGTGGAGAAATCTCTGCCACAACATTTTGGTGGGGTCAGTGCTCCAACAGATCATTGGGTCTTGTTCTCCGGTGCCCTTGGAAGCATTTCACATGGCCTGGAGAAGATGGACCTTATACTTCCCCTCCCCCTCCCTTAACATGTGAAAGCTGACACAGCCCCAACATCCCTCCAGCTTCTTTCCTAGGGAGCGATGTCCCTGCAGACTCTGACGTGGTGTGATCTCCCTGCACTGGGACAGTTATTGGGGCTCATATAGCTCATCTCCAGCCTCATGCCTGTGGAGGTCTGTTAGCTGTGTGACTTTGAGACTTCCTTCTGCCCCTTCTTTCTCACACTGAAGCCTCCACCTTGCTTAGTCCGAGGCCAGACAAGGAGGTGAGCAGGGCTTCCCCCATGCCAGCAGCACCAGGACTAGCCTGTGCACTCTCTTCCCCACCCGCAGGTGCTGGGACCCTGAGCAGAGCGGAGCAGCAGCTTCCTGAGGAGGGGCCTGGAAACCTGGAACTGCAGAGGACTTCCCCAGGGAGACCGGAGGAGAGGAGCTCCCGGACACCTGAGCCGGGCCAAGTGCAGAGGGGGCAGGGCAGGCCTCCAGAGCAGGAGGAGAGCTGGGAGGTGAGCAGGGCACCCGGTTGAGTCGTGGGTGGGTGTAGAGCTGGGGCAGAGCCCAGGAGGAGCCAGGGGTGCAGTAAGGAATCTGTGGAGCCAAGGGACCTGAAGAGAGACAAGCCTGTGGTGATGGAGGCTGCAAACACACGAAGCTGGTATTAAGAGGAGCTTCCTCCCAAGTGCAGGGAGCCAGGGGCACTGGCATGGGAAGGCCTGGTCAAGGCACACGGAGCCACTGCCTCCAGGGGCCGAGCAAACACAAGGTGCTGAGCTGGGCTAAAGCCAACACCTGAGCTCCTGTGTCCATAGCTGCATCCATGTCACGGGTCAGCTGACTAATGGGGAATTTTGCTTCCCTGCCTGTCAGGGCTAAGCCTGCCACTAGTTACAGTACAGAGTGATCCCAGGCAGGGCTGTGGGGGCTGGAAGCAGATGGAAGAGGAGACACTGATGATGTAACGCTTGTGCCTGCAGCTCCAGGAGGTGTTTGAGGACGTGGCCGTGTATTTCTCACGGAAGGAGTGGGAGCTGCTGGAAGATGACGACAAGGTGCTTTACCGGGACCAGATGCTGAAGAATTACCAAGCCCTCGTTTCCCGGGGTAAGGCTCGGGTTCTTGCTTCTCCTGTACGAGCTCTGAAGTTTATTGCCTTCTCCCTGTGTTTCAGCAGTCTTGCCCTCATGCACTTTTCAGGCTGGGGTTTTAATTTCCCTTCCTCCCCACTGCTCTGCCAGTGATCAGGTCTGTCTCACATTTCATAGTGATTCATCTTCCTTCATTTGATCCAGGCGCCTTCACTTGAGTCTTCCCCACTATTGTAACTCCTGGTGCTTCTGTACGCATCTGTTTCTGGGCAACATGATCTCCCTTTGCCCTCTCAGCGTGTTCATACCGACTCCAGCTCCTTGTACAGCAGTGCACTAAGAGCTGTTTCCAGGGAATGGTTCTCATTTCCTCCCTCTCTTGCCTAGCGTTTCCTGTCCAAACACATTCATCAATCCAGTGTGCTCCGTTCTGTGATACCTAAATTCCCTTTCTCCTCCTTTGGTTATGACCGAGAAGAAGCTAACAGAAGTCTTATCCACCTCTGGTGCTACAGCTCATGGATGATGCATTTCTACATGTCTGTCTCCTGGGACATATGTACAGGTGATGGATCCTAGGTATTTCTGTCAAGGGGTCACTAAAAGCTTCTGTCGGCCATCCTTCCTAACATCTTCATCTCCATAGACCAGAGACTTTGGGTTCGCTGTATTTACGTAAAGACCTGTGCTCTCAAGCTCGCTCTGCCAGTCTCAGATGTTTTCTTCCTCTCCTCCTCAAATCCCTCTGCAGATCACAAGCCCATCACTGATAAGAAGTGGGCTAGGTGCAGGGCCTAGTGCAAACCGGTATTTGTTACCAGAGGTTCTCTCAAACAGGGCCTTTTTTTGGCGTGTGCGTAGTGTCAAGGTACTTTCCTTTTCACCAGGCCAGTTGTCTTTTCTGATGCTTTCTTTCCCCTTCATTTCCCCCAGAGCATTTCCATAAGGAAGTGATCGAGTGATTTCTCTAGCACAGCAAGGACCATCCAAACTGGGCTTCCGCATGCTGTGCCACGTGTGTCTTTCTGCCTTCTTTTGTCCTGATCCAACTTTGTGTTCCTGGGAAACCCTGCAGTATGTGCCAACCTGTGCACTCATCTCCCTCCTAGGTTAATCCTTCCATTGGAGGGCTTGATTGCTCAGTTGTTGCTGCTGTTATTATAAAATGATCTTTTTGGTACTTTGAAAAGATTAAAAGCTTTACCTTTGTGCTCCCTAGCACCTCACAGATCATTGCGTCTCCACACCTGTCTGTGGTGATTTGGTCAGTTTAATGCCCTTTCTACACCAGGAGTGGTTGGTGCTTCGTTTCCTGTGACCATCCCACCACTGCCTGGGTGACCAGGAGCATCATCTGATGAAGGCTTCTTTCTGCAGCGCCTTCTCTTCCATCCTAAATGCCTGTCCTCCCTTGTCTAAGAAGGCTGTAGTAGAAAGCTTGAGTTCATTGGATCCATTCCCCAAATTGTGGTGGGTTATTCTGCGTCCAGTACCGAGTCACAAACCCTCTTTAACTACCGCCCGAAACAGGTTATCGAGGTCCCACACCTGACTTAATCCGCCGCATCCAGCGAGGAGAGGTGGAGCTGTGGGTCTGTGATGACGAGGCTGGCGGGGAAGCATCAAGGTTGGAGGACCTGCTGCCAGGTGAGTGTGGCTGCGCCCTCCCCTGACTCCCCTCTCAGAAATGCTCCATGCCCAGAGGGCCAGGGGCACTTGGAAATTGCAGACCTGCCCTGTGCTGCCATTGTAGGGTGCTGACCTCAAATACAGTAGATAAAGCTGCAGTATTTTAAGGCAGGTGTTGTTCCCAGTTTCTGAAATTCACTGATGGGAAGACAAGCAAACTTTCTCTGCTAGGGATCAATCAAGTTTTCTGTCTTCTTTTTTGTTTTTTGGGGTTTTTTTGTTTAGATGTGGTTTTCCTGGGATGCCATGATCTTAATATCCCGTGTTCACCCAGAAATGCAGGAGCTCATTTCCCAAGGTAGTCATATCTCTCCCACCCTCTCCCAGGCCATGATGGGATTGGTAGTCCCCCATGGACATCAGCCTGGTATGCAGAGGCTCTGTAGTCGTCAGAAGAGAAAGCCACAGCTTTAAGTCCTCTTCCTCCACGGGCTGGTAGAGCATGAAGCCTTTCAGGCACTGTCCTAATGCACATGTCTCACGTGTGCTTCTGCCAGCAGGGCCTGAGGTGATGGGGCCGAGACCTGGGCCATGAACTCTGAGAGTCTTGTTTTCAACTCCAGCGAGTAGGGCACATTGGCCTGGCACAGAGACTTGCCCCTGCTTCAGACCAAACACTTGGGGTTTTGGCAGGAAGACTTTGATGTCTTGAGGGAACACAAGTGCCACCAGGCCTGATCTGAGGCCCTTCCCAGTAGAAGGAGTATCAGTGCTTGCCCCTGGCTGCAAGGCAGGGACCAATCTGGGGTTTGTCTTCCCCACACAGGAGGTGCCTGGCTGCTGCACAGAGCTGAGAAGCAGCCTCCTGCGGAAGGGCCTGCAGACCTGGAGCCAGCA